TTAAATGTGAAAAAATGTACTTTGTACAACTGAATTGAAGGCACTGCAGATTTGTGGCACCAGCAATACACTTGTTAAAAACTGTGTATAAGCCTCTTATTTCACCCTGTTATTCAACAGCAACACATAATGATCAAAATGGTGGAATGAGCTCCCCATTGAAATCAGGACAGCAGATAGCTTGCACATCTTCCGGCGCAAACTGAAAACTCATCTCTTTCGACTCCACTTCGAGCGATAGAATTACTAACAAAGAACTGCTAACAGAGCACTTATATACTAATAAAGGGCTGGCTTATCTAAAGCCAGTTGAGTAGCACTGGAAATGTTTGGCTCTATGAAACCTGATGTACTTATATGATTCTGTTTTCTTCAAGGTTGTATCTACCTGGTTGAATGTACTTATTGTAAGTCGCTTTGGATAAAAGCGTCAGCTAAATGCAATGTAATGTAATGTAATGATCACTAAGCAGCTCCTTGTGAAGTGATCACAGCGCCTCAACACGTCTGATATCAGGCAGCTTTCATACTCAGGCACTCACATAGTGGCTTCAACACATAATCAAAAATAATGGAAATGTGCAAATCTATGCCAGTGTGACATATGTAGCATCAGTGGTGACCCCGCAGTTGTTATCCTTCATAGACATGAGGATGTAGCCGTCATTGCCCCAGTAAGTGGACCATGAGTTCTTTACCAACCAGTAAGGCTCCTGGTTCAGGGTGCCGTAACCCACTGCCAGCACGGCATGATCCAAATCTGCAGTGGTATTACCTGAAAAACACAAGAAACAAGTTGAAGAACAAGATCGGTGTTGCAGCAAAGCATGTGAGCACAAGCGAGGTGTGAACTCACCACACGCCGGTTCATAGTAGACGCCGTGGCTGTAGAACACAAACGATCGGTGCCCGGCATCGATGCTGACAGCCACCGGCCCGTTTTTAAAGAGCGCCAGCTTCAGGGCCTCTGCGTCTCCTGATGTGACGTTGGTGTAGCTCTTGATTTGTGCAGTCAGCTGGGACGCGTTCACATGGCAAAATCCATTCTGTTCAGAAAGGAAGGGACAACGTTTACGGCTGAATTCATGTAGCAGCAGGACTACAAAAACATGATTGTTTCCCCTTGTGGCTAGGGATGGGGATTGATAACATTTAATAGATCCAAATGCCTTGCCATGCTTTTATTCAAATGGACTTACAAGATGTAAAATAAACCATGAAGATAAAACTCAGAGCAGCAAGAAACCTGCGAGCACATTCACTTTAAGCCATACCACTGTAAGTGCTTGTGCATTAGTTTCATTCAGCTATAACAGCTACAACTTCTCTGCTTATTGGTCAGATTGTATATGTATTTGTCATCGCAGCTACTTTCATATCTCAGAGAACACACCACTAAATGTTTTCCTAATAATGTTTGATCATGTTAGAATAAAGGGAGCAGGGGACAAAACTGTCCCTACTTGTAAGAAAGAGGTAATATTAACGGATCTGTCAATACTAGGGATGTAACGATACCAAAAACTCACGGTACGATAATATTGCGATAAAAAATCCACGGTACGATATTTATCGCGATATTGAAAAATAAAGACAAAAATGTGAATTTCTTTTTTTCTTGAATTTTTTTTTCTTTATTAAATAATAAATCCGATTTGTACAGCATTTTAGTAGGATAGTAGTATTTTAAAGTGTCAACAATAAAATAATCAGACCCTGCAATAGAATAAATCAAGTTTCACTTTAGTTTTTCAAGTAACTCAACTCTAACTCACTAACTCACTCGGCATCATCAAGGTTATCTTTTAGGAATATGAGCATGTCCACATTTCCAGGTAGAAGCTGGGATGTTTGGGCGTTTACAATATCCCCTGCTGTGGAAAAAACTCTCTTGCTTGGTACTGATGTTGCTGGGACAGAGAGATATGCTTTGGCCCTGGGTGACAGCAGTGGGTCAAACTGTGCATTGTCTCTCCACCACTTCAAAAACAATACAGTTTTTGCCAAGAAGGTGAGGCTTATTGACAGGGCGAGATATAAATATACTGTTGGTACTTGTCAATGTCTCTAGGTATGTACATGTAGCCCTGTAAATACGATGTCCTTTTGTGCTATCTGTTGTTTTATGTTCATGTTGTACCCTACTTGCTGCCATGTTGGACAGATCTGCCTTGAAAAAGAGATCGATGATCTCAATGGAACCATCTGGTTAAATAAAGGTTTAAATCGCGGTATATTTTGTCAGTCTCACGACGGAGACATTTATTTACCGCGATATTCGATATATCGTTACATCCCTAGTCAATACTCACAGATAGGAGTACTTCTTAAGGCTCTTTAATATAGGGGTGCCCCGAATGGGAAATTCTTGGCCGAAACCGATACCGAAAATAGGAAACAGTTGGCCGAAAACCGAATGCC